AAAATTGGCCAAGAACTAAATGTAAAAGGTAAAACTATAAAACATCTAGAAGAAAACAGCAACAAACCTTAGAGACTTTAATTTTGGTAAAAGTTTCTTAAATACAGCACAATAAGCACAAACTATAAAAGAAAAAAATCAGTTGGGCTTTAGCACAATTAAAAACTTTTCCTTTTCAAAATATACTGAAAAAAAATGAAAAACCAAACCACAGATGTGGAGAAAATATTTGTAAAACATACCTCCAACAAGGAACTATTATCTAGAATAATAACAATTAAAACCAAAACCTCTTATAACTCAATAGTAAGACACACAACACAATTAAAAGTGGGCAAAAGATTTGAACGGACACTTCACTAAAGAAGACATATATATGGCAGATAAGCACACTAATTAATACTCATCATTAGTCTTTAGTGAAACGGAAATTAAAACCACAATGAGATTACACAACACATCCATAAGAATGACTGAAATTTAAAGGAGTAACTGTAGCAAGTTTTGACTAGGATGTGGAAGAACTGAAATTCTCATATACCACTAGTGGCAACATTAAAAGGAACTACCACTTTGGAACATGATTTATCATTTCTTTCCTTTCTTTTGGAGACAGTCTTGCTTTGTCTCCCCTAAGCTGGAGTGCAGTGGTACAATCATAGCTCACTGCAGCCTTAACTTCTGGGTTCAAGTGATTCTCCTGCTTCAGCCTCCTGAGTAGAGTAGCTGGGACTACAGACACTATCATGTCTTTTTTTTTTTTGAGACGGAGTCTTGCTCTGTTGCCCAGGCTGGAGTACAATGGTGTGATCTCGGCTCACTGCAACCTCCGCCTCCTAGGTTCAAGAGATTCTCCTGCCTCAGCCTCCTGAGTATCTGGGACTACAGGTGTGTGCCACCACGCCTGGCTAATTTTTGTTTTTTTAGTAGAGATGGGGTTTCACCATGTTGGTCAGGCTGGTCTCAAACTCTTGACCTCAGGTGACCCACCCACCTTGGCCTCCCAAAGTGCTGGATTACAGGTGTGTCTTTTTTTAATTTTTATTTTTGTAGAGACAGGGTCTCGCTGTGTTGTCCAGGCTGGTCTTGAACTCCCAGGCTTAAGCGATCCTCCTACCTTGGCCCTCCAAAGTGCTGGAATTCCAGGTGTGAGCCCCTGCACTCTGCCAGCAGTTTCTTAGAAAGCTAAACATACACCTAGCGTATGATCCAGCCATTCCACTTCTAGGTGGAATGACAGTATGTGCCTGTGAGGAATGAAAGTAATTTCCTCCACGTGAATGTTCCCAGCTTTATTTGTGATAGTGCAAGATTAAAAATGACCTTTACCTTAAGGAACATGTTTGTTTTATTCTAGTTCCTTTGCAGACATCTTTATGCGCATTTTTGCTAAAGCTCTTATCTCACCGGAGTGTGTCTAATGTCTAATCTGTCTTTCTGCCACTGTGGAAGGTAACCGCTTTAGTTCCCACCCTTCTAAGTGCTGCAGGAGGGGAGTTGAGAGGGCTAGGTTCTGATCTCAGCTCTTGACACCTTGGACTGACCAGGCACTTCTTGAGACCTCAGTGTTCTCCACTGGCAATTGTAGGCATTAAATTATATGTATTCTTTCATGAATGTTTTTGAGCACATGCTGTGTACCAGGCACTAGTTTAGGTTCTGACAACACAATGGAGAAAACGGGCCGTGGTCCCTGCCCTCATGAAGCCAGTTTGTGTTAATTTGCTGTGGGCTGGACATGGTCTTAGGTTTTGAGAGGACAGCCCATGTTGTCATCTCGAGAAATTTATAAATTCATAGGAAATAGAGACAAAAATAAGTTAAAAGACAAAACTATAATTGTAAAACCTGTTATGAAGGTAACAATATCAGAGAAGACCCCCACTTGAGGCAGGCTGTCAGAGGAGGCGGCACTTCAGTTAAGATTTAAAGGCAGGAAGAGAATAGGTGCATGCTGTGTCCTGGTCGTCTCTGCTCTCAAAAGTCTGGACTGAATATAAAACTGATTTGATTTCTTTAGTCGTAGACATCTTCATGGGGCCATCTGTTCTTTACCTCACGGCTTTCTTCAGGGAGTTTCATTGTCTGATTGAGGAAATAAAAGTGGCAATACATTAAATGGAATTAATTCTCCTTTCTGATGTTTAATGAATACTTCTTTGGCCCATAATTCACAAATGATTGAGACAGAAGAAGAATAAAATGAAGTGCGTATACTCTTGTAAGCCTAAGCCAGAGGTTTCAAATTGGTGTCTGGCAGGGCAATTCTTGCCTCCAGAGAGGTTTCTTTTGGCCCATAGTGTTTTAAAAGTCAAGAAATTTCACCTAAACCCTAGACTTGTAGCACTGCCATTTAAATCTTTAAGTGTGGCCACTCCAGGCTCATGTTCCTACAGCACTGATCAGTCAGCACTGACTGGCAGAGCCCCCCTTTGATGGGCGCGTGCTCTTAGATCCCACTGCCCTTCCTTGTTTGACCTGCTTCACTCACCTGTTGTCACCTGTCTGGCCCCCGGGTAAATTTATTTGACGATGAATCATCTCAGGGTTTTTTTGTTTTGTTTTGTTTTGTTTTGTGTTTAAATATCTCTGCCTGGGACCAGCCTACTGTGAATTGGATCCACTCGTGCCAGGCTGGGTGATTCTGACGTGTAGCCGGGTGAGGACCACACTCCTAGGACCGTAGCACTGGCTGGAAATGTACTTTTGTTAACAGCATTCACCACTGGAGCACACGCTGTCATGAGTGGGCAGCTCCTCTTTCACTCTGTTCCTGGAATACCTGGTAGTAGGTGCTTTAAATGCTTGTAACATAAATGAATAAATTCTATTTTAATTTGATATGTATTTGACCTTGAAAAAGCATTTTTAAAAACCCCACATTTCCTGACCAGGTGCTCATGCCTGTAATCCCAGCACTTTGGGGGTGAGGTGGGAGGATTGCTTGAGCCCAGGAAGTTTAGATCAGCCTGGACAACCTAGTGAAACCCATCTCTATTTTTAAAAAAAAGAATGCTGGGACTATGGGCATGGTGCTGAGTGCCTGTGGTCCCAGCTACTTGGGAGGCTGAGGTGGGAGGATCGCTTGAGCCCAGAAGGTCAAGGCTGCTGTGAGCATAATCACGCCCCTGCACTCCAGCCTGGGCAACAGAGCAAGACCCTGTCTCAAAAAACCTTCACATTTCCTCATTTAGATATGTGGATTTTTTGGTTTGTTTTTAGTTTTCTTAAGTAGATAGCACATTCATGTGGTTTTAAGATCAAAATGTAAAAAGGAATATAGTGAAAAGTCTCCTTTCCCCTTCTGGTCCCTGTCTGACCAGTGCACCACCCCCTGCCCTCCCTACCCCCAGTCAGCAAGTACAAGCAAATCCAACCATAAATTCTCATTTCATCCCCTTTTTACTCAAAAGGTAGCATCCTAAAAATAATGTTCTGTCATATCTCTTTAGCCTTGACATAACTTGAAGATGTTATCATGTTAGTAGAGAGCTTCCTTCTTTTTCTTTTAACAGTTGAAAAGTACCTCTCATTGTTTGGACATATTATGATTTACTTAACAAGTACCTAATTGAAGGACATTTGGACTTCTCCTAACATTTTCTGCTGTGAGCAATGCTGCAGTTAATACCCTTCTATGAATGTCATTTTACACGCACACGTGTGCATACTATAATTCTATGATAATAAATTTCTGGCAGGGCACAGTAGCTCACGCCTGTAATCCCAGCACTTTGGGAGGCCAAGGCAGGCAGATTGCTTAGGTTCAGGAGTTTGAGACCAGCCTGGACAACATGACAAAACCCCGTCTCTACAAAAAAATTCAAAAAATAGCTGGGCGTGATGGCATGCACTTGTAATCCCAGCTACCTGGGGGGTTGACGCAGGGGGATCACTTGAATCTGGGAGGTCAAGGCTGCAGTGAGCCATGTTTGCACCACTACACTCCAGTCTGGGCAACAAAATGAGACCCTGTCTCAATCAATTAATAAATTCATTCATTCACTCATTCATTCTGAAGTGGAATGACTAGGTCAAGGAGTATATGCATATATAATTTTTATACACACACACACACACACACGCACACACACACACAATTTCTCTGTTAGGTGTTGTACCAGCAGATCTTATTAATTAAAATTAGTACTGGCATTTGGAATATGTTTTTAAAAGAATATTTACTGTGTTTTGTTGTCTTTGCAGAGTTAGAGGAGTTATTTATTGGTTATATGAATTTTGGTAAGAGTAGTAAGATTGTTCCAGGTCATTGGTTTCCACTAACAGTCAAAGACCCATAAGGGGTTCTCAGATTCATATGCTAAACAAACATCAGCTATATATATATGTCTCACACAAGTGTATTAGTATATATTCTAACTATACATAGATACTGTTGTCTTTAATTAAATTAAAAATTCTTTTAATAGTGTTACTAAAGTCTTAGTTCAAATAGTAACAGCTCAACATCTTGTCAATAACTCTAATATTTTAGATGGTGATATGCTTTGTCCGTATCCCTACCCAAATCTTGTCTTGCATTGTAGCTCCCATAATCCGCACCTGTCAGGGGAGGGACCTGGTGGGAGGTAATTGAATCATGGGGGTGGGTTTTTCCTGCGCTGTTCTTATGATAGTGAATAAGTGTCATGAGATTGATGGTTTTATAAAGGGCATCTCCCATGCACAAACCCTCTTGCCTGGCCATGTTAGATGTGCCTTTGCTCCTCTTTCACTTTCTGCCATGATTGTGAGGCCTCCCCAGTCCATTAAACATTTTTTTAAATAAATTACATAGTCTTGGATATTTCTTTATAGCCGTATGAAAATGAACTAATATAGATGGCCCTTGGATTTCGGTGATGTATTCGTTCTGTGTTCTATTAGTTTTTTCAAAGTAACTTAGTCTGTAGATAGAGAAGAGTAGAACCAAAAGACTGTACATATTCCATGAGTGTCTATTTGCTTATTGTGTAATAAAAATAATCTTTCTCTTGTAGATGTCCCTTTAAGGACCAGCCTGCCACCACCATTCAGAAATTATAAATATGGTAACCATTTTTTTATTCTTTTAAACTATATATTAATACAATTTTGCATTAGTTTGTTACAAACATATTTTGTTTTCAAAAATGAATTGACTATCTGTAAATAAAAACCAATTTGGAAGTTTATTTAGAAATATAGGAATGCTAGTATGTTGCGCAAATGAATTGTAATAGTAAGGAAGTGACATATTTGCAAAGAATAGCATGTTTGGCAAAACTATGTTTAAAATGAGTTTCTCTGCCAGATAATTAGAAAAGGAAAATGATTGAAGACTAAGAATTAAAAGAAGGGATTTAACATTTTAAATGCCAGTAATTTGAGCATGTTATATCGTAGTTTTATATGTTACAATTGATGATTTAAAAATGGAGTAATAAGGCAAGAAGCTAGATGTCATTCATTATTTGTTATAAAGATGGCACAGTTATTAACCTTCAGCAGAGGGACACTCACCAATCTTTGAATTTGAGACTTCACTTGAAAGGTATGATGCACCTAATACATATTTCTGTTAATTGGTGCAGACATTTTAAAGTATAAATTTTTTATTACCTTAGATTATTTTTTTGGAGTGGCTTTTCATTCTGTTCTCATTTGATAGAACAACTTATGACCTAAAATCCTTTGAAATCACAGTCTTCACCGTGTGTATGCATTTTAATATCCAGAAACTAATTGTAAGGTTATAAGGGGTAGTGAAGCAGAAGTTGAAGGCACTGAGTGGAAAGTACTTTGATTTATTGGGCTTAAAGAATTTACATACTCAATATTGAATAAGAGAAAGGAATAAAAAGGATGATTAAGGTAAATATGAAACTTCTCAATTGTGGCTTTCAAGGCTTTCAAAATACAATGTCTTGAAATATAGCCTTAAACTTGAATCAACTTACAGATGCCATTTTAAATTAGAATAGTTACATATGGTTTCCTTTTTCATGGTGTGTGTGTGTGTGTGTGTGTGTGTGTGTCTATATGTCTATGTGCAAAGCTGTGTTCCATGGAAGTTCTTTTGAAAGAAATTTTAGATAATGAAAGCGTTAGAATATCCAAGTTGCTAAGCGTTATTGTGGTAGATAATGTACCTTTTAGGCTATTCTATCTTATTAACATCCTTCTGTCCTAGTATTTCTATACTGTTCAGATGAATTGGCAGAAAAAATGAATACATTTATCTGTGAAGAAATTCTAGAACCACTCAAGTTTTCGTAGACTTCAAGTGGCTTTGTCTGAACTTGGCTCTTTAACAATCTTCTGCTTTCTGTTGAACAAGGAAGGCTGCAGTGTTATTTTCGCCTGTCATTGTCATCCGAGATTGCCACCTCACAGTCTGAGATTGCCACCTCACAGTCTGCGGGACAGAGCACTTTGTTGGGTGTTAGGGAGTGGAAAGAGTGTGGAGTCAAATTTCAGTTTTGCCTGTTACTGTCTCCCTGCCCTTTGGCAAAGGGCTGGTTCTCTCTGCCACCAAGAGCCTGAGATTTCTTAGAGCCTTCCTCCCATTTAATTGGCATCCACATCTATTATTGATTTACCACGCATGCTACTTATCTTAAATCCCTATCGCCTAGACATGACGCATGAGGGCACACAAAAATGTAGTTGTTGTACAGTGTGGGCTGCTCATCCCTCTCTGTTTCGTAAAGCTGAGTGTGATACTGCACAAATACAAGATGATATTTTTGTGAGGTTGCTTTCCTCAAGGAATTTGTATTTAGAAAACAATGCCCATAGGTGGTGTTTGTGATCATTATGAGGATGACTTGAAAGAAGCAAGAACAAGGGAAGTAACTTATTCAACACAGAAAGGGACAGTAATACATCTCTTTGCTGCTTTGTCATTTCTCCTTTCTTACCCACTCCTCAGGTCACACCCCTTTCTGTTGGAGAGAAAAATCTGGCAAAAACTTCTCTTCAAAACATTTCTTTTTCTGCTAAAATATGTAGCCATTTAGTTGTGTGTTTGCCAAACCTATTAGAGCAGCAGGATTTCTAGTTGAAAGGCTCATTAGCAAAATATATAGAACAGGATTAATATTTAATAAGGTCAGACTATAGTTTTAAGGTCAGACTATAGATTGCAACAGACTTTGAGCTCCTGTTATTTAAAAAATTACTATTGGCTTCTCTCACTTGTCTCAAATAATAAACATATCTACAGTAAGAAAAAGAACATGATAGGTAATTCAGAATACTAGATAAGCTGAAAGTCAGCTTTGTTTATTTTCTTACACACATTTTAAGCTTATTTTTAGCAATTACGGTTTATTTACATCCCTAATATGTACATTTTACTTAGGTTAGATTTATTTTTATTTCTTAGGAATACAGAGTTGTAGTCTGAGGATTATGTTGACCTTGTATAAAAAGTTACAAGGCCGGGTGCAGTGACTCATGCCTGTAATCCCAGCACTTTGGAAGCCAAGGAGGGCGGATCACCTGAGGTCAGGAGTTCGAGACCTGGCCAACATGGTGAAACCCTGTCTTTACTAAAAATACAAAATTAGCCAGGCGTGGTGGCGGGCGCCTGTAATCCCAGCTACTCGGGAGGCTGAGGCAGGAGAGTTGCTTGAACTTGGGAGGTGGAGCTTGTAGTCAGCCAAGATAGTGCTGCTGTACTCTAGCCAGGGTGACAAGAGTGAAACTCCATCTACAAAAAAAAAAAAAAAAAAAAATTGCAATAGATAACTGAAAGTTGACTATTTAAAATAATGGGCAAATTCAGAGTGCTAGTTCTTATCTCGATAGCCACCTTATTCTGTATTATTAGAACATAAGTTAAATAAGATCTGTTTTAAAAATAGATCCTTCCATTTCCTGTCACTGTTGGAATTCCTTGTTACAACGTGATTGATAGAAATGAGTTTTAGTGTAAGGTTGGGAGTTTATTCAGTAATACATTGTAATCATAATGCATTCATTAAATGGTTAAATAAAAATGAGTGAAGAATTGGAAACTTTCTGAATTTCAACCTGTTGAATGGCTGCGTAGATTATGTAATTAAGGGCTGATTGTTGCTGAATTAGAATTTTACCCAAGTGTGGAGAAGTTACTTACTGGAAATGCACAGTGTAGCCTGACTTCAAGATAAACAAATTAAGGAGTGAAGCTGGGTTTGAATAGAGCACATTACATGGTGTGAGCCTGTGCAGTATTTGCAAACCAAGAGGCAGATATTGATATTCTTGGGGCATTAGCAGCCTTGTTCCGATTACCTGTGGTCCTAGATACAGTGTTTGAATTCTGAGAGTGGCAACACCTGTGTCATCATTTGCTCTCTTGTCATTGTATCTCGTCTGAGTAGATTTTTTTGAACTGCTTTTGCTAATGTTTATTTTAAGACTTTTTTTTTTTTACATTATTTGCTAATCCTGGTCTGTAGTGATTCCAAAAAACAAGATACAGTAATGTGATTTGCTTGTCTTCCATTCTAAGAGAAAATGTGCTGAGTTGACATAAAGTTCTGACACACACTGCTGTGTGTCTAAAGACCAAGGCTTTAAAAGATAAAGATCTTTTACTTCAATTTTAATGATCTACAAAAGTAATTTTTCTTTTACTATATAGTATATTTCTAAGTGAGTCTGGTTATAAAACAAGGACTTACATTTCTCAATTTCATAGCCACCCTCCAATCATTTTAATAATTTGAAAAGAAGTTTAGAATAAACTGTGTAAAAAGATAACTTGCTTTTTTCTTTCAGATACACTAAAGATTATTCATCAAGCGCATAAATCAAAGGTATGTTCCACAGGTACAGTATCTGGCACATAGCAAGTAATCAATGTTGGTTGAATTTGTGAATAAGTGAATGAATACCTGTACATCTAAAATATTTCCCATTATAATAGCGCTTTTTATTTTATAGGTACCCTTTCTACTGCCTTGGCTTTTTCATTGAAGAAAAATAAGCTATTTCCCTGTTAGTAGTAGATCCTTTTTAAAAAAGTGTTAATTAAAAAAAAAGTATACCATATTTCGTTTATCAGGCACATATTTAGCATAAAATAAGCATAAAACTTGGAAAAGTAAATTCAGTTTACAGATAAAAGAAACTGCTTATTATCTGGCAATCCAGTGTCTTTTATTTTCTTAATTCTGTACCAGAACAAAAGGGCCAGAAGCAAACACAAATAATTCACTTGTTCTGATTTGATTCTTGCTGGGTATAAGAGAAGGCACAGAACCGTGGCTCTGGGAGCACACCTTTTAGCTCCACCAAGGCCACGGCCTGCAATACTGACGTTGTCTTGCCTTTCCCAAAGAGAGCTGTTTATGTATGGGTTTGTTGCGTGTTTATATTTCTGTTTTTTTACTTTTTTGGAGTAACATTTTTATGAAGCCACAATCAAAGAATTATCAGACAGAGTGATTTTTTTCCCCTTTAATCTCAGTGGCCTTCTATAGAGTCCTCTTTAAAGCAGTAATCTTACTGTATTATATAAACTACTCAAGAACAAGATGTTATTTGTCATATCCCAATACCTGGCACAATGCCTGGCTCATAGTAGTTTTTCTGTAACAATTTTTGAATGAAGTACTTATGAATTCATTTTATTTCATTGTCTTCTGTTGTCGTAATTGTACTTCATACACTCAATCACCTTTCAGATAAATGGGTATCACAGATCACAAGAAAATGGCATGAGGGTATGTCTGTTGACCATTGATTGATAACTGCTTTAAAATTTATTTAAAAATTTTTTTGTGGCTTAAAACAACACACGTTTATTCTCCCACAATTCTGGAGGTCAGAAGTCCAAAATCAGTTTCACTGAGCAAAAGTTAAGGGTTTAGTAGGGTTGGTTCCTTCTAGTAACTTTATTTTTTATACCAAGGATTGTATATGCCAGTTTTACAATATCCGTTGTGAAATGCCTCAAAATGTCATGCTCACATGTATCTGGGGCTGTGATATGGAATCTGCCCCTTTGATTGGTACTAGAATGTATGGCCACCGTATTTGGACTTCGTCCAATTTCTCTCCTTGGGGACAGGAATGTTTTCAACCTCATTCCTAAAATGTAGAGAATAGGAAATGTCCTATTTTATATTTTTATATATTATATACAATATATTTAAAATACAAATATAAATATAAAATAAAGTTAAAACAATACGCTCTTTGAAAAGGTTGCAAAGCAAAGTGAGTCCCCATTCTCCATTCATTGCTGCATGTTTTACATCGTTTGGCTTTTCATGTGCTCATGTTTCCAAAAAGGAGTAAGTAGTAAATTATTCCTTTATCTTAGTGAAGACATAGTTCATTGTGTTCAAATTATCAGTATTATAACATTTTTAGAAATCTGGAAATTATCCTGTCATTGGAAGACAAAACAATCTTAGAATTGTTACTTATATTTAAGACACATGTTTCACACTGGCAGGTTCTAGTTATAAAATTAGGGCTTGTCTTTACAGTTGAACAATGTATTTGTTTAAGGGAGGATTTCCCAAACAATTAAGTCACTTAGAGTGCTTCTGGAATCTAGCTTTATAAACTTTCATCCAAATCATAACAATGCTAGTTAAGATGCCCTGGGGATGGTTCTGCAAGTTTCTACTTCAACTTTTCTAAGGGAAGAGGTCAATATATTTTCACAGATACAGTTTTGAAACTTCAAAGAAACTTTATCCACATGTCCTCATTTGTGCCTTATCCAGCTCACAGTCATTTTTCTCATTTCCAAGTTATTGTTGTCCTTTCATTTTCTATTCCCCATCTGCGGGGCCTGTGGCATTGCTGGCCTGGCCTGTCAGTGTTCCAACTCAGCTATAATTTTAATTTCCTTCATCAGCCAAAAGGAGAGACTTCTAAATAATTCTGTTGTCTTAATGAACTCATTCACAAGAGGCATTTTTCCCATTTCCCTAGTTTTCTGGACTTAGAGACTTTCCTAATTGCAGTTACTACATATCCTCAGAAATTTCTTCCCATTCCAACAATAAAAAGACTGACTGGATACCTTCCCACCATAGCCTCGTGTGTGTGTGTGTATGTGTGTATTATGGATGTAATCAGTGGTCTGTTTATAAAGTTAGAATAATTTCTATTAAAGATATTGCATTAACTTTAATTTCCATTTTATGTGTGGAAGTCATATCCTGGAATAAACTTTATAAGAAATGTGCAGGGTCTTTAAAAAGAAAACTTAAAATGCTGCTGTCCTTCCTCACCCCTCACCACACACACACTTGAAAATATGAATCTAAGCTCTGGGATTAATTTTTCAGACCCATTAAAGTGAACTCCTCTCAAGATCTGTGCATTTTATAGTGTGAAATTGTACTTCAACTTAACAACAAAACAAAACCTGCTATGAGAGTTCCAAAATAAGACTTAAACAGAAATGCTTAGGATATTTTGGATAGGAAGATACAACAGCACAAAATCAATTCTCTCAATTTACATATTTAATGCTGCCCCAATAACACACAATACTTGTGTTTATATGTAAACTAAATAAGCTGATTTGAAAATTAGTATGTAAAAAATACGAATAATCAGGAGAACTCTGAAAAAGAGAAATGAGAGTAATTAGCTCTAACATATAAGACATGTTATAAAACTATAGTAATTAGAACAGTATGGCACTATCACATGAACTGGTAGTTTAAGGGCACAGAATTAAAAGTTCAAAAATAGACCCCAATGTGGAAATTGAATGTATGGTAAATATGGCATTTCAAGTTTGTAAAGAAAAGATGGTGGATTCAATAAATAGTACTTGAATAACTGCATAAACATCTAAAAAGCAGCTAAGTTGAATCTGTGTATTTTTCTTTATGCCAAAATAAATACCCCTTGGATTAAAAAATTAAACCCATAGATGAGGATAGAGATGAAACAGATGGAACATGACTTGATAATTTGTTCAAGTTGGGTCCTGGGTACAGGGCAGGGGGTTTATTACACTATTCTGTATCTATTGTATATTTGAAATTCTCCATGATGAAAAATTCAAAAAATGAAATTCATGAAAATATTTGAAGAGAACGTGGAATTTTAAAAATCTTGGAGTGAAGAAGGTCTTTCTAAATATGACAGAAAACTGAGAAACAATATGAGACTGATACATTTTACTTCATTCACTAACTTATTTATTCCAAGAAAATTCATTTAACACCTTCTATGTAAAAAAAACAAAACAAACAAGCAAAAAAGCACTGAGAAAAAGCAAGGAACAAATAAAAAGTGGGGGAAATTTTTCTAACTTACAGAAAAGGCTGAATTTCCTTAGCATATGAAGATACTCTAGACTCTACAACTCTATTGGATAAATTAGCCTACAACTCCATCAAAAAATAGAAAATATTCAGAACTTTGAGCATAATAAAATACAAATTAAGACTATACTTAATCCACACCTGTCAGATTGGCAAGGATCAGAAGGCTTTGCTAACACACTGTGTTGGGAGAGTATGGGAAATAGGGCCTCTCAGTGGTCCCAGTCCTCTCTGGAGAACTAGATAGCTGGTGGATGGGGATTGGGAGGAGACTGACTTTTCACTTCCTATTCATATGTGCTTGGAGAACTTTGTATAATGAGTTACTATATGAAGAATAAAAAAAAAATTATTCTTTTTTTTTGGAACAGAGTCTTACTTTGTTGCTCAGGCTGGAGTGCAGTGGCATGAACACAGCTCACTGCAAACTCTACCTCCCAGGATCAAGATATCTTCCTGCTTCAGCCTCCTGAGTATCTGGGACTATAGATGTGTGCCACCACACCCAGCTAATTAAATAAAACTTTTTTTTTTTTTTGTAGAGATGGGGTCTTGCCATCCTGCTCAGGCTGGTCTCAAACTCCTGGGCTCAAACAGTCCTCCTGCCTTGGCCTCCCAAAGTGCTGGGATTACAGACTGTATTACCTATTCTAAAATGATTTTTTGAGTAAAGTATTTTTTCTTTTAATGTGTGTGCTCTGGAGTTTAAGCCCCTGTGCTCTGCAGTGAATGAGGTCCATGAACCCTGCATGGCGTGGACTTCGGATTTGGCTGCTGAGAGGCCTTTCCGTTGACTCTCTGTCTCAGCTGTATTCTAGAAATAGAATATGTTGCTAAACAGGTGTGTTCTGGTTGACAAGTGGTGCTGTGTGACACTAGTGGTCATCTCTTTGTGCTATTTAGAGGCAGATAGCAACTTTAAATTTTTCACTTGTATTTATGGAGTCTCGCTGGATTTGTAAATATCACTGGAGAGCACTCTTGTTTACCCCCACCGCAAATCACATAGAGAAATATTCCAATTAATGTGACATGGAACCAAATTTTTTTAGCTTGGGCAAGGTTTTTAGATATGTGGACTTATGGCCATTTGAAGTATACTTGTGGCCAGGTGTGGTGGCTCATGCCTGTAATCCCAGAATTTTGGGAGGCCAAGGTGGGAGGATCACTTGACTTCAGGAGTTCGAGATGAGCCTGGGCAATATAGTGAGACCCCGTCTCTACTAAAAACAAAAAAAAAATTAGGCTTGGTGGCACATGTGTGCAGTCCCAGCTACTCAGGAGGCTGGAGATGGGAGGATTGCTTGAGCCTTGGAGACTGAGGCTGTAGTGAGCCATAATCATGCCACTGCACTCCAGCCTGGGTGACAGAGTGAGACCCTGTCTCAAAAAACAAAACAAAAGAAGGAAGTATACTTGCTTCTCCCAGAAGTCAGACTGGCCAGAGCTGGAAGCTCTGCTCTGTCGCTGACCAGGTTAGGATGGCAGGAGAAGATGATGATGATGCAGCAACAGAACAGTGACAGCTAAGAGAGAGTGCTCACCCTGTGGCTGGCACTGCTGAGGATTTATATGCTCCATCCTGTCACCCTTACCACAGGTGATGGGGAAGGAGCCCTGTCCTCCCCTTTTCTACCGACGAGGAAATCGAGTCCTAGAGAGGTCGTGTAGCTTGTTGAGAACACACAGCTGAGTGCTGGTGGAGTCTGGATTTGCATCCTGATCTGACTTCATTGCCATGCCACAGGACTCTCCCCAATGCTTTACGTGGTGCCTGCACTTGGCAGGACCTCACTGTGCCTCTGTTCACTGCCCTCATTATGGCCAGGGGAGTGGAATCTACTTAGATTATTGCTGTGCTCAAAGTTACAACTCTGTGTCTTTGAGAGGTCTCACGGAACACACCCATGTAAGTACTGATAAAATGCAGATTTTCTTTTTCTTTTTTTTTTTTAGACAAATGAACTTGTGTTGAGTTTGGAAGATGACGACAGACTCCTGCTGAAAGAAGACAGCACTCTGAAAGCAGCTGGAATCGGTGAGGAAGGGGGCCTTGTGTTGCTGGAGGGGAAACCCTCTCCTGGCCTATGCTGAGGCCTGGCTGATGGTATTTGGATAACTCACTGGAAAGTAAATGCTGCTGTTGGCCCCCCGACACTGCCCGGTAACTGCTGAGAGGAGGAGGATGAGAATGATGTGCATTCCGATCTCTTGACTGAGGGCAGTAGATGTCTGCTCTCCAAATATGCAGAATGCAAATGGCTGTTTTCAGAAGGTATGCTCAGAATTCTCCTGAGGGGCCGTTTAAGGGACGAGTTGTTAGTACCATGTCTCCTTACTCTTATCATTGTCACTTGAGCCGATGGTTGGAGAGAAATGGGCATAGTAAGAACTAATGAGGAATGATGCAATGCGTTGTTGTTGGTATCACATGCAGTGTGGTTTCTGATGGTCTTCCGAATCACTCAGGGCCCACTGAGGCATGGAATTTAAAACAGGAGCCTGGTGTGTGCAGCTGAAAAGTACCTGATTGGGCCTTCGAGCCTAGAATGTGCATGTGGTTTTATTCTAAATAAATGTTATGTGACATATTTTGTGACCATTAGATGTCACTGTTATTCTACGTATATGTACACCTAAAGCTGATCTGGCAGGAGGGGAAGTGGAGATTGTCAGGGAGGTCTGAGTGGTTAAAGGCAGTGTGCCCCTGATACACCTCTGCGGTTGGTGACTGATGCAGTGTCACAAGCCATGCTTCTTCTTAATTATTTATTAATTAATTTATTTTTTGAGACAGAGTCTCACTGTGTCGCCCAGGCTGGAGTGTAGTGGTCCGATCTTGGCTTACTGCAACCTCCATTTCCCGGGTTCAAGCAATTCTCCTGCCTCAACTTCCTGAGTAGCTGAGACCACAGGTGCGCACCACCACGCTTGGCTAATTTTTGTATTTTTTTAGTGGAGACATGGTTTCACTATATTGGCCAGACTGGTCTCGAATTTCTAACCTCAGGCGATCTGTCTGCCTCAGCCTCACATTGTTCATAATTATTTATATGCACTTGTTAAGGAACACGTTTAGTAAGGTGCACATTGGGAGCCTGGATTTTTTTTTTTTTAAATGAGTATTATTTTTAGTTACTTTAATCACATATATCAGGAATTTACTTCTGATTGATTCATGTGACTAGCATGAATTCCTGACATAGATCTGAGTTAAACAGGATCTTAAATAGCATGTTGTGAAATCTTAGACTTGATTTCTCTGTTGTCATCTACAATATTTGCTATAATATTCTTGTCTTTCCATGTTATGAATATGTAAGGTTGTTATTTTGAAGAGTGATTTTAAATTTGGCATTTGTTTCTTTAAATGCTATTATATTATTGTAGCAGGTGGCACCTTTGTGATTGGGGCATGTAGCACCTAGAAGGTAGCCCTGTTTGTTGTTAAAGCATGAAGCATAATGAATATTACAGACTGACATTGATGGGGGTATTGACAGAGAGCTCCATGGAAAACACTGGAAAATCAAAAAACTAAAAAAAAGGTAATATTTCACAGGATGATAAAGTTGACATTTCAAAGAAGTGAGGAAATAATGATTTAGCCAGAAAATTATGTGAAGCCCATTGCCAAAGCATTCAGGAAAATAAAATTCAAACTCTTATCTCATCTCTGTATTTATTACAAAATAAATTCTAGATGGGTTAAATGTTATAATGTAAAAAAATTTTTAAAAAAGAAAATGTAGTTCAATAATTTCATAATCTTGGGAAGGAGAAGAGCTTTCCAAGCATGAGCTCAAAGACAGAAGCCATAAAGGGGGATAAGTGATAGATTTGACTACGTAAAAACTAAAAACTGTAAACAGAGTTAAAGGAGAAACTTTGAAAAATATTTGCAGCATATACAACAGATAAAAAAGTTGTTAGCCTGGGGTCGGGCGTGGTGACTCATACCTCTAATCCCAGCATTTTGGGAGGCTAATGCGGGAGGATCACTTGAGGTCAGGAATTCGAGACCAGCTTGGCCAACGTGGTGAAACCCCATCTTCACTAAAAATACAAAAATTAGTCAGGCATGGTGGCACACGCCTGTAATCATAGCCACTTGGGAGGCTGAGGCGGGAGAATGGTTTGCACCTGGAAGGTAGAGGGTGCAGTGAGCTGAGATTATGCCACTGCACTCCAGCACAGCACTCCAGCCTGGGCAACAGAGTGAGACTCTGTCTCAAAAAAATAAAAAATAAAAAATAAAAAAATAAGAAAAGAAGACGTTATTAGCCTGCCTTTATAAAGAACCCTTGTAATTACTGTGAAAAAGAGAAATTCTACTGATAGAAGAAATAACTCACATATAACAAATAGCTCCTTCTCATTAGGAGAGAATGAGGACTTACTAGAAATGAGTACATAGATACTGTTTTATGTAATAGAGTCCAGTGTTAAGACTTTAGTCTGGGGCTGGGTGCCATGGCTCACGCCTGTAATCCTAGCAGTTTGGGATGCCAGGCTAGTGGGTCGCTTGAGGCCAGGAGCTCTAGATTAGCCTGCACAACATAGTGAGACCTCATCTCTATAAAAATAAAAATTAGAGTCTAGAGCCAGAGTGCTTGGGTCCAAATCCTGATTCCGTCTTTTACTGTCTAGGTGACCTTGGACAGCAGCAGTTGTTATAAGATTCGCAGACATGAAAAAAGTGGCATTGTCCAAGGGAGTTCAAGGTGTAGGGAAAATGGAGAGTCTTATACCACCGTCAGGAATGAATATGACCTCGAACTTTCTGTGGGTCAGTTTGACCAATAAGACTTTCCCAAGTTTGAATTTCAGTGATACTTGTTTCTTTTTGTTTGTTTGTTTTGAATATTTAAAGTTTATTTCTTTCAGTACTTAAAGAAACATAGGCTGAAATACTGGGAGAAACAACGGGTCCACTGACTGCAGACCAAGATGAATTAGTCAAGAGATAATACAAAATTTGAGCCAAGGGTCAGTTCATCCCAAACAGGTTTTGAAAGATGGTAAACTATTCCCTCCCTCTCAGATGTCTTCAAATTAATGTTTTGTTTGTTTGTTTGAGACAGAGGCTCACTTTGTTGCCCAGGCTGGAGTGCAGTAGCACAATCTCAGCTCATTGCAACCTCTGCCTCCCGGGTTCAAGCAAACCTACTGCCTCAGACTCCCAGGTAGCTGGGATTACATAGTGATACTTGTTTCTAAGCCAACAGGGACAAGCCGTGAGGTTGTGATAGGTCTTCAAGGGGGTGGTGGGGTTAGACCTGACCTTCCCTTGTACGTGAAGCACTGATGTAGAGCTTGATTTATTGAATAGAAATAGAACATGCTGTGTGGTACCATTATGGTTTGGGTTTGGTTTTTGTTTTTGTTTTTGTTTTGAGACCAGAGTCTCACTCTGTCACCCAGGCTGGAGTACGGTGGCACAATCTTGACTCACTGCAGCCTCCACCTCCTGGGTTCGAGCAATTCTCCTGCCTCAGCTTCCTGAGTAGCTGGGATTACAGGTGTGTACCACCACGCCCAGCTAATTTTTGTATTTTTAGTAGAGACAGGGTTTCGCCATATTGGCCAGGCTGGTCTCGAACTCCTGACCTCAGGTGATCCACCTGCCTTGGCCTCCCAAAGTGCTGGGATTACAGGTGTGAGCCACTGTGCCCGACCCCATTATTGTTTTAAAATGTTTAAAATATACATGTAAGATTATTGTTTATGTGTATATGGAGAAAAGATCATATGCCAAAATTATAGAAATGGTTTCTTGAGGTGGTGGCATTGCCGGTAATTGATATTCTCCTTTGTAATTAAAGGACCTTTTTTTTTTTTTAAGTATAAACCCATGAAGTTGGGGAAAGTCAGTTAGAATGAAGGCTGTGCATTTTGCTTGCTTTCTGGCCTTCTGTAAGCCACTTATCGTCTCTGAAACTCTATTTTGTTTTCTGTAAAAATAGGAAGAATGAAACCTATTCTAGAAGGTTGTCATAAGGGTTGTGTAAAACAGTGAAGGCATCGGGAGTGATGTGTGTAAAAGGCCCTCAAGAACAACTGCTTTGTCTGGAAACCGTCCTGGAGGAGGCAATTGACAAATGTTTTGACTTTACTAAAATATTAAGTTGTTGGTCTTGTGATTAATTTCAAACTGACTTATGTAATGAACCATCTGTAAAGGTGAGAAGCAAATCCCTCTTTTTGTCCTCTTACTTTAAGGCTATTGGTCCTGGATTAGAGTCAGATTCTTTTCCCAGATTCTCCACTCATTTCAGGGTGGTATGAGGACTCCAGACGTCCCTCGTAACTCCAGCAAGCCAGCAACCCTGGGCTCAGGGTGATTTGGGTCCCTGCAGGGAGCGATTTTCTCTTTGTTATCTAGAGTGGTGTTGCTGTGCTCTTGGGGACAAGCTGAGGTTGTACCTGGGGAAGGAGATGAGGGTACCTGGAAAGCAACAAAAAATTCTAAGTGAGAACTGAGTTGTGAAAATGATACTTGAAATGTGATTTTTTTTTTTTTTTAAGACAGACCTCACTCTGTCGCCCAGGCTAGAGTGCAGTGGTGCGATCTCGGCTTACTGCAACCTCCGCCTCTCAGGTTCAAGTGATTCTCCTGCCTCAGCCTCTGAGTAGCTGGGATTATAGGCATGCACCACCACGCCCATCTAATTTTTGCATTTTTAGTAGGGATGGGGTTTCGCCATGTTGGCCAGGCTGGTCTTGAACTCCTGACCTCAAGTGATCCGCCCGCCTCGGCCTCCCAAAGTGCTGGGATTACAGGCGTGAGTCACTGCGCCCGGCCTGAAATATGTGATTTTTCTAGGGAATTTTCCCTCTCTCAGTGCCATGTTTGATGAGATTTTTAAGAGGTTTAAGAGAAAAATTCGAAGTCATCTCTGCCTCCCTTTTCACCACCTGATCTTGCTGTAGAGCTGTCACTCTGCGGCCACAGCCCGTTGCCATGGAATAATACCAGGGTAACAAATTTATCATTAGGACTTTTCTGCAGTAGTCATGAAAAGAAAAGAAAGGCTG